TCTCCCTCACCCCCCGCGACGAAATAACAAATTCGAATTTAAAACGGTTCGAACATTTTTAAAATCGAAATGGATAAAAATATTTATAACAATGTCTGAAATGTTATTAATTTAATACACCTGTTCTTCCGGTTAAGCCTTAATGCTCTCCCTCACCCCCCGCGGGGAAATTTCTAAAAATCCCTTCTTAGTGTACATTCTCATGGCATACCCTACTACAACGCAGATAAAAACAAAAAATTGCATCTAAAATAGTGCAGTAGAAGCCGTTCTTCCGGTTAAGCCTTAATCCTCCCCCTCTCCTCCCGCAAGGAAATTACGAAAAATCCCTTCTTAGTGTGCATTTCCATGACGTACCCTAACTGTCTACCAAATTTCACCTCTTTAGGTTAAGCGGTCTGCTCTGGGCAATGATAAATCAGTGAGTGAGTCATTCAGTCAGTCAGTCAGGACAAGCAATTTTATATATTTAGATAATATACACTGTAATTATTAGTAAATAAATTTTATGAATTTTAAGAAATAGAATTCTGTATCTTTATTGATTGGAAAATTCTATTGCTTAGATGAGCTGCTTGACTTCACATCCATTAAACCATACAACTTTTCTTTCATAGAAGTATAAATATTGAACAAAGAAAAACTGTAAAAAAATAATTAAGTTTAACTATAACATATTTGCTTTGAAGTCTTTGTGAACACAAATTCAAATAAAATTAAAAACATTCATAGATTCTCTTAATCTTTTGTATAACTTTAATAAAAATTTGACAGTAAATCAATCTGGAATTTATATTATTTAAACAAATCAAAACATAATGGAACTTATTCTTAGGCAAATAATAATTCTTTGAAATACAAATCAAACTGCATTAAACTACAGATTTTAATTATGTAACTTTACCAATAATGTTTATTATTATGATAAAAAACAAAAAAAAAAAAGCAATAAATATTCTGTGTTATGATTATATGACTTTTTGGATATATCAACAAGACATGAAGTTTTGAGAAATGGGATCAATGTAAATCATGTGAAGAGTGGAAAGATTAAGATATTTTGTTAAATATTTAGTGTACATAATAACCTACATAAACTATTAACAGTTAATAATTGTATTTATATAGGTGAAAATAATTATCCAGATTGGAAAAGAATGTTTTCTGATATTAGATTGTCATGTGGTGCCGGAATAGTAATTTCAGTTGGTCACATAGCACGGTTTGAACTAAATTATTGTTTGCCTTTAAAATTTCAAAATGAAGACAGGTAAGTAGGAATAATTGCATTTATGATTATTTAAAAAAAATTTTATATCTAAAATAGTTTATTATTTTTAGGACAAATCCTGGTATGCAATTTGGTATAAGTGTGGCATTTTTGTAGTTTTAAAAGAAAGGTAAATCCTTGTTTGTCTTCCTGGTTTTTTTTTTAAAATAACTTATTACATAAGTTATTTTCTTAATATAGGAAAGAATTTGAAGAAAACAAATAGTAAAAAAGGAATTTCAAGACCATGTACATGTAAATAAATTGTTACTTAGAATGTTTATCTAATTTGATAAACAATAGACTGATTTATTATTTTGCAATAAAATTTAGTTGATAAATATTTTTGTGCAAGTTTAAATAATAATTGAAACTTCTAACAATCATCACTAAACACATTCAATTCTGTTTTTACATGGTAGATGCACTCCCAAAAAATTAAAACAATAATCTTTCATGTGGACTATATTTTTGGATCTAGCCATTAAAAACTGATGTAACTTATAAGCAAATTAATTACCAAGTTTAAATTTTGCTGGTAAAAAGTTTGTGTTTTTAATGTATTTGTACAATTTGTTTACTTTCAGTTAAACACCAAAAATACTACCTTTTAATGCCAAATGGAATGTAAAAACTTTCATGTTGAAATGATTGCCCATGTGTTATCCTGTAATTCCAAGTCTGTTCCAGAAGTACTTTGAATGGGAAACTGACTTCCTTTTAGGTGTTAGATACACAAAATCTAGAAAAGTACCACATGAACCAGCTGTCTGTCACACACAAACCCAGCACCAATTACTACTGTTCTGGTTTTATTCACTCGTCCATTAGTGGATCACAAATTGAAAGAAAATCGGAAGAAATGATCATACAAGGTCTGTTCAAAAAGTATCGGACCTTTTTTTATTCCGCGTAAACCAATGATGCGCGACAGGTCTCCTTCGGTGGAGTTGTGGAGGGGACAGTCATGCACAGCCCTGAATTTTTTCCCGCCTGCAGAAAGCGTCAGTCGTTGGCAATCGGCGTATGAGTGAGGTCATGTAGTGCGCTCTCGTCGGATTTCACTAAGCTGGAAAATGACTGAACAACGTGAGCAGCGATATTACATCAAATTTTGCCAAAAACCTTGGCGATACCCGAGTGTAAACCATTCGCAAGATTCAGCAGGCTTTCGGGGACGATCCTCGAGGCCAAAAAAAGCGCGGCAGGTCCGCAGCAATATCAAAGGTCATGTTGACAGTTTTTTCGACTCTCGTGGGGTGGTGTGTCGTGAGTACGCACCACAAGGCCAAACCATCGCAAAGGAGTACTACCAGGAGGTCCTTCGTCGTCTTTCCGATACAGTGCGACGCAAACGACCGGATCTGTGGTCGATCAAAACTTGGCAGCTCCATCGTGATAACGCATCCGCCCATTCTGCGCATCTGATTCGGGCTTTCGTCGCCAAACACAATACTCCTGTGGTTCGTCACGCTCCGTACTCTCTCCACATGGCTCCGTGTGACCTTTGGCTATTTCCCAAGCTGAAAATGCCGCTAAAAGGAACCCGAATTTAGTCGAGAGAAGACATCGTGCAAAATCCGACGGAGCGGCTGATGGCCATTCCAAAAGATGCGTTCCAGCAGTGTTTCCAGCAATGGCAGGAACGCTGGGAGAAGTGTATACATTACCAAGGAGACTACTTTGAAGGGGATTAGGGTTTTGTACCTCAAAGTCAATAAATTTATTTTTACCGACCAAAGGTCCGATACTTTTTGAACAGACCTTGTACAAAACAAATTGACAAACTCAAAGCAGTCAGAAAAAAGTTTAAAGTTAATTTGATCACAGGATAATTTTTTTTGCATTCAGACATTTGAGCATGTTTAATGACAGTTGTAAAAAAGATTTTGTACAGATGAAGTGAATTTTCATTGTAAGCAAAATTTCCCTTTCGATAGCATTAAAAAAGGTGCAAATTTATTGAAATGCATTTGATCTAAGTAAATTGAATTATTATGCGTGAAATAAGTCTACTAAAAATTTACTTCTCTTCAATTATTTTTGAATAGATTTTTGAATTTGGCCATTAGAAAGTTACTTTATTTGCATTCATTCACTTCATAGAAGGGGAAATGTTTTAATTTATAAACTGACAGTAGTTTGGAAACTGTTTTATTCAGTAGTGTTAAAAATTAAGATTTTAGCAAATAAAAGTAAAAAAAAAAATAAGTTAAATGCAGTTTCTAGATTTTTATAAAAAAAAAAACATTTAATAGAAATGACTATATCGAAGTTTCTTGACAAAAAGTTCAAAAATTGAGTTACACATACAAAAGTTCTAAATTAAATCAATTAAATAAAAATGTATTTTACATAATTGGTTCCCCTATACTGTATACTGTTGCCTTGTAGTTTTATATTCGTGACAACATATGCAGATATAAAATATTTAACAAAATTACGTATAATCCATAAACAATGATTAAATAACTTTTAAATATACAATATTAAAATCCACAACTGATCTTCCTGGAATGCAAAAATAGTTTCCAATATACGTATTACAAAGTACTACAGGTCGTTCCTATACAATACAAAAAAGGCACTTCGGTTCAAGTTTGATTTCGAACTCACTTAAAAATTAGACGTCTTCAATCACTGCAACAGAAACAACAAAGAGCCATGCAAAGAGCACACAAACAGCAGTCTCGAGCACAGTCGTTGTCTTTCTTCTCTTCTACGACTCTGCTGATAGAAAGCTTCAAATAAGCCAGAGGAATAATTACCTTCCAATATTAAACAATCGATCATACTTACACGGTGGTGACGGCAGGTTGACCGGGTGGAGGATAAGTTTCGCCGGGAGGAACCTGAGGCGGATAGACTCCCGGCGGAGGAGGGCCGGGAGGCGGATAGTAGCCGCCGGGATTGCTTCCGGGAGGATAGCATCCTCCGGGCGGGTACTGTTGGTACGGAGGAGGATAACCACTCATCTATAAGTTTAAACGAAAGCTATAAAACCCAGCTACAGAGAAAAATAATTTCGTTTCTCCAAACGCGTACTTTGAACAGCTTTAAAAAGGTGTAAACAGATAAGATAAAAAAAAAAAGATGACTACTTTGTCTGCGTTTGAGATAACACTTATATTCCTATTTAAAATGGCTATTGTTGGAACACCTAAAATACAATGTCATTGTATTTTATAAAAAAAAAAAATTACACGCATTAAAAGTTGACGAAACATCAATACGTAAATTTTCATTTTAGCGACGTCACGGGTTAAGGACATTTCTTCCGGCTGGCATGTCATTCGGAAAATCATTTTGTTTTTCAATATCTAAAAAAACACTTCATTTTAATTGAAAAACAAATATTGTTTTAATTTTTGTGAATGCACTAAAGTTGGTTCCTAAATGGCACCTTCTCCTTCGGACAGCCAACTTTAGAGGGCCTGGAAAGGTGGCTTTTCTGCATGACTTACTGTCGTGCTGGAAAGCTGCCATTCGTCGGTTAGCATCGGTTAGCGTTTAAAAATAATTTAAGAAATGAAACATGACACAACTTAAAATGAAAATAAATTTAATGGCATAAAAGTAAATTTATAAATAACATAAATGAAAAATAATAAAATATTTACAAATATACATAATATATCATACTTTACATATTGTATAGTACATAGCTATAATCACAAAAAAATAAAAATAAAAAATATCAAAATAAAGAGATAAAAATATAAAAAAAAGTATAATGATAAAAAGAGAATACAAATCAGAATATAAAAATAATATAAATAAGCAATCTATACCAATACAAATTACAGTTAAGTCCGAAATAATATTAAAAATTTTCTTTTGTGTGATAAATCTTGAAACAAGGGGCCGGACACATGGCCACCTGACATTGTTCACATTGATATCTTGTTTCTCGTCTAATTTTTTTTCCTTCCTTGTTCTTTTTATAACAGACAACACAACATCTAGTGGGTGCTACTTTTTTGTCGGTCGGCGGAATAAAGCCCGGGAAATGTTTTTTCGTAAGTTTTAACGGACCTGCAGTTCTCGTCCGACCATGTTTACTGGCCATCGTTACGGTGTGGTATGTGGTTATCAGTCGTTCTATTAGAGTCAGTCGAAATAATGCGTTTGGTTTCTGTCCACCATTTTTTTGATATAACACATAGGCATTATATAGTGAAATGTCTAGTAACTGGAAAAATATTTTTTTGTAATACTTCTTCCCTCTTTTTCTTGCCACAGTATAATCATGGAGATGCTGATCTAAAAGGTCAACACCTCCCATAGTTTTGTTGTAGTCAACAACAACTTGTGGCTTCATTAGTACACTACCGGTACGCGTTTCTGTACTTACCATTGTAGCACTGTGGAATGTAGAGAGGAAAGTGACTGTTCTCCTGTCATGCCATTTTTGTATCAGCACTTTACCTCTCTGCATTGCCACAGTCTCTCCTTTTTTTAATTTTTTTTCGTGTAATATTTTCGGTACATCTTTTCTTGTTGTTTGTAGTGCTCCACAACAATCTGTTTTGCGCGTTATTTGATAATCTGCTAATTGTGGGGAAGTATAATAATTATCCGTAGTTAGACAATATCCCTTGTCTAACAACGGGTCCAGTAATGATAGCACAACTTGTGACGTAAATAAAAAATGCCCGTATTTTTTATTTAGGCGAGTGCCTTTTCCTGTATAAATTACAAAGTTGTGCAAATATCCTGTTTCCGATTCACATAACATAAAAAATTTGACACCGTAACGAGACCGTTTCTGAGGAATGTATTGCTTCCAGGAAAGACGGCCTTTGAATAATAGGAGGCTCTCGTCGATGCTGATATTTTGTTGTGGGGTATAATATTGGGAAAATTTTAAATTTAAATTATTTATTATTGGCCAAATCTTCCAAAGTTTTGGATTATCGTGTGTTTCGGGATTAAAATTGCTATTGTTTGCAAAATGTACATTTTTTTATTTCCTCGTATCTTGTTCTTTTCATTAGTTTACCGAAAATTGGGGTTTTTAAAAGTTCATTCCTGGACCAGTACATTTTCTCACTGGGTTTGTATAACAGTCCTTGCAATATACAAATCGTTAGAAATATATATATTTCTTTGACTGTCACTGGCTCCCACTGATCCCTTGATGACCGTGCCTGTTGCAACGCGTAGTTGTTTGTTTCGGTTACAATCATGTTGAATAATTCCAAATTAAAAAATAATAAAAAGTATGCCAAAGGGTCAAAGTAATCCGCAAGGGTGAAATTACATCCTGAACTTCCCCGAAAAGGAAATCGCGGAGGAGGTGGTGGAGAATTATCCTTGTTTATTTCTACCCATTTTTTTTAGACGTGTCGACTCCATTGTCGCTGTGATCTGATGATCTATCTTTACTGTGATTTGATGATCCATCTTCACTAATGCTGATGCAGCTGTCTGATTCACTCTCAGACATTGACAGTTCTTCGATGTCAAATTCCGAATCTGACGTTCTGACAATAAAGAAATTTATCTAAAACCCGTTATATTTATCGAACGCGAAATAAAACAATAATTATTAGTATTCTCCGGAAATATTATATTTCTTATAAACTTACTTGAAAATAACTGGATGAATTTTATCGAGCTAGTTATTCTAACAAGTAAGATCGCACTAGAACAAAAGGAGAACGTGTCGTGTCTACTGAAGAGCAAGAACACAAGTGAGAATTTCTCGAAGCATTCGAAAGAAGAACAGAAAGACCGAAATTCTAGGAATAAACATCTGACATTTATTGCAGTCATAAACTGTAACATTTGAGAACACCAGTATCCGAAACTTTTGTACTTACAGTACAATTCACATTTCCATTTGGCAAATTTTTATTACAAGTTCCGAGAATTAGAACAAAAGGAGAACGTGTGTACTAAAGAGCAATTACACAAGTGGGAATTTCTCGAAGCATTCGAAAGAAGAACAGAGAGACCGAACATCTGACATTTATTGCAGTCATAAACTGTAACATTTGAGAACACTAATATCGGAATCTTTTGTACTTACAGTACAATACACATTTCCATTTAGCAAATTTTTATTGCAAGTTCTGAGAATTGATAATTTCATGAAGGTGTTTGGAAGTTCTTTCTAAATGCTTATATGTGTAAAAAATTTTACAGAAATATGAATAACTTATCACCATTTATGATTGTTGAATAGAACATATATATATTTACAAAAATTTATAAAATTCAAGATTTGAAAAAATCAGAAAACTTTTTTATATAAACATGCGATCAATCTGTTATATGTTACATAGACAGATCTATTTTCTCTACAAAAAAACTCCATCTCTCTAAACCAACATAGAGATATAATATGGTCTATAGTTTACAACGCGACTGGTTTGGTGGTTGAATTTTGTAAATCTAGGTCAACACACATTTGTACATCGATGGTGTATATTTGATTTTGTTTGTTTTATTTATACTATTATAATAACAGAGCACTATAATAAGCAGTGGTGATATTCAGCGGGTTCGCACGGGTTCGGCCGAACCCGTTGTTAACATTTTCAAAGTTTTCCGAACCCGTTGTTAAACACACGTAACATTTCTCAGTGATTTTGTTTCGTTTAAAAAATATATTAAAATATATGTATCATATACGCAACCTCCATCGACCGTTTCAATCTCGACTAAAACGAGGTTCAATCGCGATCGACTCGAGAGAGTTCTAGCAATGTTGCCACGCCGATTTGATTGCCATCGGTAGATTCCTTAGGCAATTTTCGGTAGATTTCGGTAGTTTTTTGGTATATCGACTTTTTGTGGCAGAAAGGAGGTTGCACATAAACAATGACATTCTTTTTCGTCATTTATTTTATTTAAGGTGAGGTTGAAGGAACATAAATATGACGTTGAGAAGAGCAGGTATGCAACGGCGTTATCTAAGATAGCGCAAACTGATGGATCGGTTGTTAATTGGGAGGAAGCCAAAATCGTAGCAAAGGTACACTCGCCAACGCTGTCATCAATAACCGAGAAATGTGAGATATATAGATCCAGCTTGACGGATAGGTGTTTAAATTATAAGGATGCGACTGTTTTGCCGTCGTCGTGGAAGTACAGTACATAATAAGAAAAAACTCGCAAGAAGATGCATCCACCGGACTCAATATAGACCTGGGTTAATAATATATATAAAAATGTTTACATATTGTGTGCAGAAAATTATTATAAGTTGTATTTCTTATTGTATTATTTTGTTCTTTGTATTTATTGTTTTAATTTTAGTTATGCATATATACGTAGTTTAATTTTAAACGGATGTTCTAATATAATTTAAGTTTGAACGCGTTCGATAATCGCTTAGAGTCGAACGTCCTTAGCGTGAAGATGGCTCATGAAGTGAGCCGAAAACGTTTGTTTAATTAAATGAATAAATATGACTTCTCAGCAGTAAGGTGTGTTGACTGTATATTTATTTTATTATAAACTATAAAACAATAAAAAACAAAATACTAACACAGAACACTTACGTAAAAAATAATAATTTACTAATTAAGTAGGTACAGTACATTTTGTCTTATTTTTCTAACAAAATATTACCTTTTATTTTTCGGATATTAATAATAATTATTATTGAATATCTTCCGTTTGTACGTTCTTTAACACTCTGTTTGTTATTTTTGAAATTAAATGATCTTTTAAAGGAAAATCGTAACAGTAATTTTTTCCAATTAATTGTTTAGTAAGAAGTAAGCCAGTGATTGTTTCGGAGCTTAGTTTATTTCTTTGTTTCGTGTTTAACAGATTTATTTACGAAAATATTCTTTCTACATTAGATGAAGAATGGGGCAGACGCAAGATATTCTCAATAAAACGAGATAGAGTCTTTGCAATAAAGTCTCTTACAATGCATACAGTAAGAAATGAAGGTACAAAGAAATGTTTTATTGAGAATTTTTAAATACATTGAAAATAAAAATTTCTTTCTTGAATTATCGTAAACTTTTCGGTAGATTTGGTGCTTCAATCGGTAGATCGGTCCC